TTTCATACCATAAAAATTATGTCTAAGACATTTTGTCGAAAAATGAATAGTTTCGGAAATAATTGTTTGCTTCCATACTTTTTCCCCACCCTGTATATAATAGGATTTGATATTCACATCTTACATATCTTGACTCGATAAGAAGAGCCGTTCACAGGAACAAATGAGGAATTGCTATGAGTTGACTAATTGCACCTGCATTCTAAACTATTACATTCAAATGTTGGATTTTTAAACGGAAATTATACCATAACGATGGCTGAAAAAAGCAGCTGACGTCGGTAATATATGTATTGTTATAGAATAAAGAAAAATTGTATCGTACATCTATAACAACTGTGTATTAGCTCTTAGTTGCCAATTTATTTTGTAATATCATCTTAAAATGATATCAGAGACCAACTCTTAAGTTTTGTTACGATTTTTACTGGATACCCCTGTATATTAACAACAAAATAGAAATGTAACTACAAAATTGTTCATTCAGTATTATATAAAGCACTTATTATCATTGCAGAGACTTGTCTACACTTTGGAAATTCATGTTGGGGAGGTATGTAGTATTAGTAATATTAATAATAATAGTAGTATTAGTAAATTAATTCTTCATGGTCACACTTCAAGGAAGCCACACGATAGTTACTTTGGGTTAAAATGACCCGAACCGTTTCTGAAGTGTTACAAATCAATAATATCAGTTCCATTGACTTCAAAAAATATAATTTCATTCTTTAAAAAAATAAGGTAATGTTAGACATATAAAAAAACTCTTCTTATGAAAATAAATTAACAATACCAAAGGGCAAAGAAAGAGTCAAATACACATCAAAATAAATTCAAATCAAACGTATTGTTACGACGCGAGGTGTAACGATTTTAAATATTTTCGCGTTTATGAATTACTTGGTTAGGATGCAGCGGTAGTAGTATGTGGGCAGCCATGAAGCGTCAAAACAAACCCCCACCACTCCACCCCTGACGTCAAAACAAACCCCCTCTGCCCCCCTAGACGTCAAACAAATCCCCCTCCATTCCCCCCTAGACGACTAGAGGGGCCTGTCTGGAAAAAGGGAGCGCTCTGACTGGTTGGTGACGCGAGGGTGGAGTAATGAAGTAATTAAATGGTGACGCGAGGGTGGAGTAATGAAGTAATTAAATGGCGTGTTTCGATTGATTCGCTCCATGGCTGCCCACGCTACGATCGGTTCGCTCCATGGCTGCCCGCGCAACGATTGGTGAAGGAGAGGGCGCGTTGAGTGAGAGAGAGAGTGAGAGTGAAAATAAAAAACCGTCAAGTCCAAGAAAATGGCGGAGGTGGAGAAAATAGGTCCCCGAGACAGTTTTTTGCCAGAGGGGGAAAAGGGGGAAAGGTTCAGGCTTCGGAGAGGAATGCGGGAATGATTTATGGCCCTTCGTTTTTTTCGCACCTCGGCGTCCTGGTTAGACGCAATGAAGAAAGTCTTCTTTTATCGCTTATTTATTTTTCTATTATTTAATGCTGTGCGATCGATTTTTTGTCTGGAAGGACAGGAGGAAAACAAGAATGGGCAAGTTCGTACCTATTTATAACAGAGCTGGGATGATTTACTCGTTTTAGATAAATTCTTTTTTTTGCCCTTTATGTTAGCGTTAGTCTTATTTCGAAAAATGACAAAAGTTTTTATTAATTTAGTTATAACAAAGAATATGATAAAAGAAGATGTCGGTTGGAAGGGAACGAAAAAGTGATTAAGAAAATAACAGACGTGGCGTACAGTGACAAAATTGAAAAAAAAGATGTTTATTGATAAAATAACGTTGTTACATAAAATAGTTCCTTCACGAGAATAATCGTTTATTTTATATTTTACTTTTTAAAAGAGTAGACGATTGAACATGACGGCATACAGCATAAGAATTAATTGTTTTACATTTACAACGAAGAAAATATTTATGAAATAACTGTGCAATCAATCGATCATTGCGTTTACAATAAGAGGTAAACAGACTAAGAAATTGGCTAAGATTATAACCATTACACATAAAATATAGAAATACACAGCAGTAGTGCCCGCAAGTTTGAGAAAGTATTCCTTGCAGCGTCGTCGTATTCCAACGATACGTAGTGGAGTTTTGGCAAAGTCGTAAGAGGAATCTTGAGTCCAAGGGCGGCAATCCGTAGCTATCGAAATATGTTCCTGTACCGCATTCGTCGATGTAGAAGGCGACCCAGTGCTGGCCAGGTCGATTGTGATCGTCTGTGTTAGCGAATGGCAGTCGAGGTGATCCCGATTTACTACGGCTCGATTGGACATCACCAATCACAGCGACCGGTGCTTAGGAGCTTTGTAATCTCAAGCGCTGTGAGTGGCTCGTGTCCAATTGAGCCGTGTCCAACTGGGTGCCACCCAGGCGTTTAAAACTTCCAGTGAATTCATTTTTCGGCGTAGATGAGCGTGAGAGAGGAAATGTATGCGTAAATTCAGAATTTACCTCTTTTGCCAGTACGTGCGTTGTAAAGTTCTCAAAAATACTAGACGTTTGCGAAACACTAGTGTTAGCTTTATCTCTATCAGTCGTCGATTTGAATTTCGGACGATCTTTTTTCTCCTCAGCTGTCGTTTGTTCGTCCTCGCTTTAGTTCGCCTTTTCTGTCACGATATTTTTCCTCCACGCCTCGATGTTGCGAAATATATTGTTTTTCTGATTTTTAAATTTAATTGAAAAATTTCCGCTGTTTGTTTTTTCGCTCTCGACGTCGCTCTCGCTGCAGTTTTCTGAAGGAAGACTATCGTAGCTCGAATTGCTGCTATTTCGTATAGCTAGCCAACGTTTCAGTTTGTAAGCGTTGCGTAAGGGGCAATGTAATTCAACGTTGGTTCAAAATCCGTGGTGCGTGCAACGTTGCGGATTTCCGCAATCTCCGAAATCTGGCAGATTTTTGAAAGCCGAAGAAATTCCTTCCAGATTATATACGTTTCTGGAGAGTAAATTATTCAGATAACGTGACTTCTCTTGTCCTCTGGTATAGATGTAGCGTTCGTGTCGTGTAATAGCTCGTATCGTGAAGTATGTAGGATTAACGTCTCCTTCGAAATATTCGATTCCGTGATAATTTCGTGTAAGCCAGTTGTTTTCTCGTCTTGCTCTCTCAGGTAATTCTCCAAATAGATAAGGTGGCCTCATAATCCAGTGCCCGGTGATCGTCGCATTAATCACAAGAACCGCGACTTCTTTCGGAATAAAGTTGTCTTTGACATCGCGAAAACCTTGTATGTCGATGACTATATCCATTATATATTCGAATTTTCGCTGCTCTTTTTATGTCACGAAACGTCAGCGTCGGTGTCACGAACAAGACTGAAGCTTTTTTCGTCGTCTCACGTGGAATTAGATTAGAAATAATGTGTAGTGGGGAGAAAATATTTTTCTCACGAAAGGCATAGAGCTAACCGGAAAAGTCGTCAATGATGACGCGAGGAATCGATTTCTAAAACGTTATCGAACTTTGCATAGACGATACAATTAACCGGTTAAGTGGTATTGTAGCATATATGCACAAAAAGAATCCGTGCCAAAAGTGGTATTGTAGCATATATGCACATCTTGAATAACTTCTATATTATTCAACGAATTTGCTTGAAATTTGGTATACTATTGTTTTTTGGGCTTCTGAACTCGATTTTGGCGTCAAATTTGTAAAATTTGATGGCGAACACAACATGGCGACTAATACGTTGAATGAAAATGGCGATTTTTGTATATATATTGCAATTACGTTTTACCCCCGCAGTTTTTGATGAATTACTTTCAGTATCATTATCTGTAATTTCCTCCGCAAAAAAATCATCGTCACTTTCTTCCAAATCAGACAAATTGCAGTCAGAAGATACAGGTGAAGGTGATCGTGTTCTCTTCTTAGATTGTTTTGTCATTTTTTTGAACTCGGACATGTTTTACATTTATTTGTAAATATCGCGCTGGAACGAATCAGTCCGGCTCTTTATATACGAAATGAAATCAGCGACCCAAAAACCCCCAGGGCCAAATTTTGGTATATTTTAGTTCACAATTGACGCCTACCACTTTTGGCACGGAATGTTTTAAAAAGCCTACCACTTAACCGATTAATAACGCTTCGATGTACGCACGGTAAGCGTAAACGTTGTTTGGAGGCGACAAGAGTTTTTGATTGAAATATACGTCGATTTGGTTGAACATGGAATGCAGTAAATGATTTACGGGTCCTACTTTGGCCACGTCGGCGGCTATGACCGATGTACTCTCCCCACGTTCGCTTTCTACGCGTATGCGAAGGCTTAACATGGTGTGAGTGAGATCTAGATAGTCTTCTCCATGGCCGGGTATGACGAATTCTACGGGTGAGTCGTCCGTGAGCGAAGTTACGGGTTTGTAATAAATCCATTGCGAACTCTCGATGCTGGTTTGCGTAGGTGGTAGAGAGAAGAAATCGAGTTCGCACTTTATACACTCGCTTGAGTGGGTATGAAGAAAGGACATGCTCTTTTTCTCCAGTCACGAATTCCTATCTCAATTAAGAGAATATGTCGGATACGTCGCGTTTCTTGACTCGATGCTTCCTAGTGGATGGTTTTTTGATTTTTCTCCCTGCGGCGCGAATTTTCTTTTTCTTCGTCACTTTTTAGCTCTTCTTCCCTGTGCTACTTCTCGATTTTCTTTTGACTGCCCGACGTCGTTTACGAAGCGCGATACGACTATTCCGACCTCCGAATGGAAACTGAAGTGCTGCGGACTTTGCGGATATTTTA